CCGCGCGACGTCTTGCGCCGAGCGGCGGAAAAGTACGAAAACGAGCCCGTCGTCTCCGCCAAGGGCCGGACCATCGGCGAGCTCGACCGCCTCGGCGGCGAGTCGGCCGTCGCCGGCCTGGCCCAACTCGGGAGCTCCGTCGACGTCCCCTTCGACTTCGACGTCCAGTTCGAGTGGCACCCCGTCGACAGCCAGCGCTTCCTCTTCTACGCGGGGCGGTCGGGGAAGCAGGAGGCCTTCGTGACCGCGCTCGCGAAGCGCCACTTCGAGGGCCGCCAGGCCGCCGGCGCCCGCGACACCGTCCTGGACGCCGCGGCGGACGTCGGCCTCGACCGCGCCGCCGCCGCGGCGTTCCTCGACGGCGACGAACATCGGGACGACGTCTGGCGGAGCTACGCGGAGACGGTCGGCAAGCACGGCGTCCACAGCATCCCCTTCTTCGTCTTCAACGGCCCGTCGACGGCCGGGGGCACGTTCCGCCGGGGCGCGTGCCAGGGCGAGTACGCCGTCCGCGGCTCCGCGTCGGCCCAGGAGTTCCTCACCATCTTCGAGGGCATCCTCCGGGCCGAGACGCGGCCGAAGCGCGCGCCGCGGCCCCAGCGCCGAAGATGAAGCGCGAAGATGAAGCGCGGCTTCCTGCTCTAGCGCCCCTGGTTCGCGGCGACATGACGGCGCGCGCGCCGGGCTCCCCGCGGACCCGGCGCCGCGCCCGACTCCTGCTCTAGGGCCCCGGCCCGCGGCGACATGACGGCGCGCGCGCCGGGCTCGGACCCGGCGCCGCGCCCGACGAGGCCGCGTCTGCTCTAGGGCCCCGGCCCGCGGCGACATGACGGCGCGCGCGCCGGGCTCGGACCCGGCGCCGCGCCCGACGAGGCCGCGCGCTCGGGTAACACGCGGAAGAGCCTCGGACGGCCTCGTGGGTGTCAATACTGCTCCGTGGACTTCACCTTGAACTGGTTGAGGCTTGGTTGCACTTGATCTCGCGCGATCGGCATCGTCATGGCCATCCTCGCAGTGCTCGCGTTCGCCGGTCTCGCCCAGGCCTTCTCGCCGGCCGCGCCGCGGTCCGCGGCGCGCCTCGGCGTCAAGCGCGACGCCGTGCTGAACGCGCCGCGCAAGGACGACAGCTGGTACGAGGGCCTGTCCGTCGATCCCGGCGCCGCGGGCCGCGTGCCCGAGGCCGCCGCGGCCTTCGTCGAGACGATCAAGACGAGCGACGTGACGCTCCAGCAGTGCATCGACGTCATCGACGAGCACTTCACCTACCACGCCGTCAAGTTCGACGTCGGCAAGGTCACGAATTTCGCGGGCATGAACGCCAAGTCGGGCAAGGTGCTCTCGTACGCGGCGCTCACGGGCCTCGACACGGCGACGACGCTCAAGTGCTTCGGGCCGATCTACGACGAGGTCCGGGCGGACCCGGACGGCACGTCGCACGCGAACATCCGCGCGCTCATGGCCGGCGGCGTCGAGTCGGTCCGGTTCCCGAACGGGCTCTGCCTCACGGCGAAGCTCGTCGACGACGACGAGGACTACACGAGCGAGAAGGGCCTCGCGGCGTCGAGCAAGATCGGCGAGGGCGACGACTGGGACGTCGACTCCGACATCTGGATCCCCGTGGACGGCGTCAGCGCGTGAGCCCGGCGCGCGGCGCGTAAGCGGCGGGCTTACGGGGGCGCGGCGCGCGGGGCCGCCTAGCCCATCATGTCGTCGCCCTCCTCGTCCTCGTCGAACTCGCCCTCCTCCTCGGCCGTCGCGTCCTGGTACTGCTGGTACTCGGAGACGAGGTCGTTCATGTTGGACTCGGCCTCCGTGAACTCCATCTCGTCCATGCCCTCGCCCGTGTACCAGTGGAGGAACGCCTTGCGGCGGAACATGGCCGTGAACTGCTCCGCCACGCGCTTCCACGTCTCCTGGATCGCCGTCGAGTTGCCGATGAACGTCGTCGACATCTTGAGGCCCTTGGGCGGGATGTCGCAGATCGCCGACTTGACGTTGTTCGGGATCCACTCGACGAAGTACGACGAGTTCTTGTTGATGACGTTGAGCATCTGCTCGTCGACCTCCTTCGTCGACATGCGCCCGCGGAAGAGGCACGAGCACGTGAGGTAGCGGCCGTGGCGCGGGATCCGCGGCGCACATCATGTTCTTCGCGTCGAACTGCTGCTGCGTGAGCTCCGGCACCGTGAGGGCGCGGTACTGCTGGGAGCCGCGGCTCGTGAGGGGCGCGAAGCCGACCATGAAGAAGTGGAGGCGCGGGAAGGGCACCATGTTGACCGCGAGCTTGCGGAGGTCGCAGTTGAGCTGGCCGGGGAAGCGCAGGGAGCACGTCGTGCCGCAGAGGGCCGCCGCGATGAGGTGGTTGAGGTCGCCGTACGTCGGCGTCGTGAGCTTGAGCGTGCGGAAGCAGATGTCGTAGAGCGCCTCGTTGTCGAGCGTGAAGCACTGGTCCGAGTTCTCGACGAGCTGGTGGACGGAGAGGGTCGCGTTGTAGGGCTCGACGACCGTGTCGGAGACCTTGGGCGACGGGATCACCGAGTAGGTCGACATGACGCGGTCGGGGTACTCCTCGCGGATCTTGGAGATGAGGAGCGTGCCCATGCCGGCGCCCGTGCCGCCGCCCATGGAGTGCGTGAGCTGGAAGCCCTGGAGGCAGTCGCAGGACTCGGCCTCCTTGCGGACGACGTCGAGGACGGAGTCGATGAGCTCGGCGCCCTCCGTGTAGTGGCCCTTGGCCCAGTTGTTGCCCGCGCCCGTCTGGCCGAAGACGAAGTTGTCGGGGCGGAAGAGCTGGCCGAAGGGGCCCGCGCGGACCGAGTCCATGGTGCCGGGCTCGAGGTCCATGAGGATCGCGCGGGGCACGTAGCGGCCGCCCGTGGCCTCGTTGTAGTACACGTTGATGCGCTCGAGCTGGAGGTCCGAGTCGCCGTGGTACGTGCCCGTGGGGTCGACGCCGTGCTCATCGGAGATGACCTCCCAGAACTTGGCGCCGATCTGGTTGCCGCACTGGCCTCCCTGGATGTGGACGATCTCACGCATGGTTTACGAGCGGGGTGGTGAGCGACTGGCGTTGGTATTTTGAGACGCAACGCGCGGTCGTTTTGCCCGTGTATTTTGAATGAATGATACGTTATATCCTCGAGTTGACGACACGATGCTCTTTGCCGCCGGGGTAAATTTCAAATTTCGAGCGATGGGGAGACCTCGTCGCCTTGTAGCGTCGCCGACGAACTCCGCCCGCGACCACGCCACGACGACCCGCCCCATCTTCATTGGCCCGGCGCCGCCGACGGCGTCGGACCGACGCCTGGCGTGCGGGGCGCCGCGGCCAGCCAGCCTCTCGAGAGAAGCCCTCGTGGCGCACCGGCGAGGGCTGAAGCAAGGCTCTGTGTGCGCCGACGCCGTCGCCGCAGCGCGCCCGGCGTCGAAGCGAGGAGCGATGACGGAGAACCTCACCGTCTCCGAGGCGCGCGGCGACGGCGCCGGCGGCTGGGTCGTCGACGTCGCGCGCGCGTCGGACGCCAAGGTCATGGCGACGCTGCAGGTCACCGAGGCGCTGTGCCCGCCGCGCAAGTCCGCCCGGGGCAAGGTCGTCTGGTCGCTGCCGTCGGACCGGACGGTCCAGCCGCGCCTCGGGCTCAAGGAGTCGCAGGCCGTGCTCGCCGCCTACAAGAAGCAGCGCAAGGTGAAGAAGGACGCGAACCGAGAGGTCAGCCGCGAGCTCACGAAGGAACAGAAGAAGCGGGAGAAGAAGGAGCGCTGGGCCGCCGGGGCGCTCCAGCGCTTCGGCCTCGCGGTCTGCGCGCGCGCCGCCGTGCGCGAGCGGCGCGCGACGCGCGCGGTCGACGCGCTCGTGCCCGACTTCGACGACGACGACGACGGCGGCGCCGGCGCCGCCGCGATGCCGGCGGCGGCGCCGCCCGTCGCCGCGCCGCGCGCGCCCGTCGCCGCGCCGGCGCCGCCCGCCGCCGCGCCGGCGCCGCCGGGCGCGGCGCGGCCGCCGCCGGACGTCGCGCCGCGCGCGGCCGTCGTCGACGCGCCGCTCGCGGATCGCGCGCTCTGGGTGCGGACCTGGAAGGCGTCCGTCGTCGCGAACCTCGACGCCCTCGCCCAGGCGGCCTGGGTCGAGGCCGCGCGCCGCGAGGACGCGCGGCGCCGCCGGCCGCGGCCGCCGCCGGCGGCCGCCGCGGCGCCGCTCGCGGCGACGCCGGGCGGCTACGTGCCGCCGGCGCGGCGGCCGCCGCCGGCGACGGCGCCGCCGGGCGTTCCGGCGCCCGCGCGGCCGCCGCCGGCGGGCCTCCCGCCGGGCCTGCCCCCGGGCCTCGCGCCGGGCCTCGCGCCGGCCGCTGCCGCGAGTCCGCCGCCGCCGCCGGGCCTCCCGCCGGGCTTCGGCGCGCCGCGGCCGCCGCCGGCGGCGCCGCTCCGCGAGCTCGGCGCCGTGCCCGTCGCCCACCGGCCGCCGCACCCGGACCTCGGCCTCGGGCCCCCGCCGGGCGCGCCCCGCCCGGCGGACGCGCTCTTCGGCCTCCAGTCCCTCGGGCTCCGGCTCTAGGCCGCGGCCCGGGCTGCCGGGTGCGTAACCACCATCGCCGGCGCCTGTTTCTTCTATCAATGGCTGCACCGACCAGGAGCGTATTTTTTTTGCCACAAGAATCGCCCATCACTCCAAAATTTGCAACCGGTCGATGACGACCCCGCGCCGCGCCGTCCGGCGCGCCTGGATCGCCGCCGCGGTCGCCGCGTCGGCGTCGGCGGACGCCTCGGCGCGGTGCTTCACGTACTGCGGCGAGGCGTCGCGCGGCGGCGGCCTCGCGAGCTTCTTCTATTTCCTCAACGCGGCGAAATTGATCGCCGACCACGAGGGCGCGCGGTTCCTCGTCCCCGAGGTCGTCCCGCTGAGCCGGCGCCACGCGACGGGCCGCGCCTTCGGCGACGTCCTCGGCGCGCCCGAGTGGGCCTGCGCGTCGACGTACGTCCGCCGCGCGCCGCCGGCCGCGGGCCGGGCCGGCCGGCGGCCGGGCCGCGGCCGGCGGCGGCCGCGGCCCGGCGGCCGGCGGGCCGCCGCCGCGACGCCGGCGCGGGACGGCTTCTGCGCCGGCGAGGTCAAGGCCTGGCTCGCGGGCGCCGCGCCGGCGCCCCCGGTCCGCGTCGCCGGCCGCGCGGCGCCCGCGGCCGGCGCCGGCGCCGGCGACTGCCGCGAGGTCGTCGAGCTCGTCGACGGCTGCGGGAGCAGCGCCAACTTCTCGGCGACGCGGGACTTCTTCCGCGGCCACTACCGCCGCGGCGCGCCGGCGCCCTTCCGCGGCACCGCGGGCGAGACGACGGTCGCGATCCACTACCGCCTCGGCGACACGGACCGCGCGGCCACGCGGCACGCGGAGAAGCGCACGTCGGCGCGCGAGGCGGCGCAGATCGCCGCCATCCTCGCCGAGGCGGCGGCCCTCGGCGGCCGGCGGTTCCGCGTGCGCGTCGTCTCCGACAGCCGCGGCCACGACGAGGTCGCGCAGTTGGTCGCGGACCTGGCGCGGTTCGCGGCCGTGGAGCCCGTCGACGCGGCCGCCGGCGAGGAGGCGACGGCGCGCGCGGACTTTGACGCGCTCGCGACGGCGGACCTCGTCGTCTGCGGCCACTCGGGCTTCTGCCGCGTCGCGGCCCTGCTGACGGACCGCGCGGTCCTCGCGACGTCGCAGGCGACGGGCCACCGCCTCGTGCCCCTCGCCCACCTCCCCAACGTCGCCTCCTTCGACGACGCGTCGAGCGCGCGCGCCGTCGCCGCGCGCGTCCACGGGCTCTTAGGGGCGTAAAAACGGCGGCCTACGCGAGGGCGTTCTTCGGCGCGTCGTCCTCCTCGACCTTGAGGGGCTCGGCGGCGGGGGCTTTGCCCGGCCGGGGCCGGAGCGCGAGGGACCCGGAGAGGGCCGCCGCGGCGACGACGGCGAGGACGATCCCGCCGTAGTGCGCGACGTAGCGGACCGCGTCCGGCACGTCGCCTCGCGTGACGCCGAAGCAGGCCCAGCAGGCCGCGCCGGCGTAGGCGAGGCCCAGCGCCGGCGCGCGGTCGCGCTTGACGAAGCGCGGCACGACGTAGCCCGCGAGCGCGAGGACGAGGGCCAGCAGGGCCGCGGCGCCGCGCGGGCCCGCGAGCGCCGGCGCCGCGAGTTGAAGGACGAGGCTCAGGCCGATGCCCGCCGCCGCCGAGAGCCAGGCCGCGTTGATGCCCGTGGGCGCCGCGAGCAGCGCCTTCTCCGCGTCCGACGCGGCCCCGTAGGCCTCGGCGACGCGCGCGGCGGCGACGAGGAACGACGAAAAAGCCGACAGGAGCAGGACCGCCGCGGGCACGAGGATGCCCAGCTTCGTCGCCTTGTCGCCGTCGGACGCCGGGATGGGCAGCGACGCGAAGACGAGCTGCCAGGCGCACTCGAAGCACCAGCCCGCGAGCCACGGCCCCGCGACGGCGGATCCGAGCGCCGGCGCGCGGCCCGCCGCGACGAGCGCCGCGGTCCGGGCGACGCGCCGCGCGCCGCGCCGCGCCCGCCGCGACGGCGGGACCGAGCGCATTCGAACGGTCCAAAAATTAGCCGAATCCGTCGCGATCCGGCCGAGCGGCCGAGCGCGCCGGTCCCGCGGGTCCGCGAGCACCACAACGCGACGTTCCCGCGCCTCCCGCGCCGCCGCGACCACCGATCGGGTCGGCCCGACGCCCCGGTGCGTCCTCCGGCGCCGCGGGCCGCGCGCCGACGGCAAAGCGCCGGCGTCGCGACCCGGAGCGACGACGCCTCGGGCCGCTGAGCGGCAGGCTCTACCTGTTGAGCACAATGGCGCTCGTCGTCAGCACGCCCTCGGACGGCGACGAGGCCCCGGCGACGCGCGTGCGGCGCACGGACGCGCGCAACCCGTGGTGCGGGCGATATATGACAGATTAGACTTGGACAAAATCTCGTGAGGCGGTGAGAGCATGCCGGGCAAGTGCTTGCTAAAGCGATCGCTAAACCACGGCTCCCAGCGTTTCCGCCGGCCGTCCAGCGGGTCGCGAGCTCCGGCCACCGCTCCACCCGCCGCTCCCCGCGCCCCGACGCGGACGTCCCGTCGGCTGCGGGGATCGCTGCGGCGACCGGTGGCAGCGCCGCGGTCGGCGCGCGGTCCGCGCCGACGGAGGCATCGGCCGCGTCGACGCGGTCCTCCAAGTTTTCGATCGGAGGTCTGGGAGCGGTCCTGGGGACGCTCCGGGGGAAGTGCACGAGGCGCGACCCGAAAACACCGGG